TGTTTACTGCAACATGGATGGCGCAGGTCTTGGTGACTGTGGAGGCGGAGGGTGGACACTCGTCATGAAGATTAATGGTGCAAAGGTATCCACAAAGTTGATATTGCTCGTTGGGCTAACCTCATACATAGTTCGGCTGTCTTCTCATCAGTATGGTTAAATCAGAAAAATTGCAGTTGCATTTAAACGAGAAATAGTTTTGTACTATAGAAGGCTGCAATTACATCAAAATCAGGATAAGAGCACAACCGTTTTTATGAAAAATCTCAACTTCATTATTTTCTTTTGTAACAAACGTTTAAATACGATTCATCGTTTTGGACGAACAGGAGAGAATACGGCCTCCCTGAAGGGGAGTCTGGCTTGGATGACCAAGAGACCAAGCTACCAACCTACTGGAACACGCCTTTCACCAAGATCTGTCTCGGTTTGAAGGTTGGTGAGGTCACCAAGTTCTTTGTTTTGAACCAAAAGGCAAGCTCCGCTGTACGCCCTGATTGCAGATGGCAAATATCGCAAAACCTCTCTGGGTCGGGAGGAATGGAAGAAGTTGATCACTGGTGCTTCCTTAAAAAACAACTGCCAAAAGGAGGGTTTCAACGTCCTGAGTGTTAACGCCGGTGCTTCTCGGGCACGAATTGGAATCGTGGGTAACAATGAAAACGCTTGCACGTCCAGTGATTCCCGAATCGGGTTTGGTACCGCTGGATACCCAGACAATACCAACTCGTGTGGTAACGTGGCTAAGCAGGGTGGAGATAATGGCGACAAATTCATCAAAGCCATGGGATACATCTTCGTTCATTAGGAACAGTTAAACTTCAAGCAGTAGGGGCCTAAGCTATTGGCTGCTGAGCATATTTAGTAGGAGCACATACACGCTAAAGGGTTTCATTGCCGAAAAAAATAATTAAATGGATTATTGGATGAATGATGTTGTACTCCTTGATGTCTTGTATCATCTTAGATTTTTTTACCCGGTTAACACCCTGTTTGATGTAAATGAATACCTTGAGATCTTCCCGAGCTGTTCATACCGAACAGAAACGAATGAAGAAGGAAAAGTAGCATGCTAAGAACGATTTGATTTTGCCTTCCATCTATCATCCGCTGTGTTACTAAGCGATCTACTAATGTAGACTTCGTTAAATTTGGCAATTTGTTTCATGTCTCTACAAAATCGTGGATAGATCCTGTCTTTCATGGAGTACTCCCTGTTTATCGTCTTTGTAAGTCTTCCAGTTTCGTCATATAAACTTTACTGCCTTCAAAAAGAATCTTATAAAACAACGCCATCTTGTTTAGCCGCGTCGACAGCGTCTTTTGGAAGTTTTCTTAAAAGGTTAAATGTAGTGCCTTCTCTTCCTTAACCATCGTGCGCACGCTATGCTGTTGTAGGCCGTGGCCGACAGTTGCCCGGCCAGACATTTAATGCAGGGAAGTAGGTATCATAACCAAATAGTTAGGAACGTATTCAACTAAAGAGACTGACAAATTCAACAAAAGCTAACAAGTGCCCAACACAGCGACTGTTAGACCACGTATCTACCTTGGCTAAAAGGTTATTTGCAATAGATATTCTTCTGTGGCGGGTTTGTTTACACATTTATTTATTGCATAGGAGCAAGCTTTTTGAAAGGAATCAAGTAAATGCATAAGAACTCAAATTAGCATTGCATTGTCGAAACTCGTTTCAGAAGCGAATGGTAATTTGTGGTCTACATGTGGTGAATATTCATAGCACAAGATGCAGTCTCTTATGTTTCTATTTTGACCCATTTCCATATATGAAATACCATAAATTAAAGAGGTTTCAATTTAGAGGCATCTTAAATCAATGTTTAAATCTAAGCTTTGTTTGAGCACATTTGAATATTTCTTCAACGTTTATTGATTGTAAGATCGATTACACTAATTGCATCTTCACAGACTTTTACCAAATTTAAAACGAATTACTTCACTTCTTATTTCACTGTTGCAGGTCAAGCTTCCCGAAATCATTGCTATGGGATGTTGACTTCTTCCTACTCCACTCGCCCTAACTGGGGCCTCAGATCAAGCTCATTTTGGGCGATATAGTCATCAAATGATTTTCACAAAATTTGAGGCATTTTCTTTTAAGATGAGTAACACACAGATTTCTTGTTTAGCCGGACTAATACATATTATGCCTTTTTTCTTGTTTTGCGTGAGCAAGTGTGAGAAAAATTGATTTTTAGAAAGCACCCTGTGTGGTATTCCTATTCATTCATAAAGCATATTTTCTGCAGAACACACGATGAGGCGGTCTTTCATTAAAACCCCTTTGAAATTTAAAAAATGGCGGTTCTTTCCTGAACAGGTGTTGCCATCTATCTTTTCGAGCAGTTTCATTTTTCGAATAATGAAAAGAGATATGAAAGACATACATACAAAACTATCTGGTAATATTTCAATTATTCAAGTTTTGTAAGCATGGCGACTCGCTTAGCGTAATATTTACAGGAGCGAAAAGTTTGTTCTTCGCAAAAACCTCTGTAAAGGCTTCAACAAATTTTGATTTATGAATTTCTAAATTTTTCTGTTTTAAAAATGCAAAACAGAAGTGAAGAGAAACAACGAAGGGTAACGGAATTTCCCCCTGTTTCATGTTAGAACAAAAAGTCATTCTTGTAAGGGCTTTTGATTAGACCAATGACTCCCTTACAATAGAATGTAGCCTCTGGGGCTCATTGGTAGCGATAAGTGTTATTCACCATTATCTCTTTAATAATTTTATCAGTCTTTCATGGCTGTTAAACGACCTAACTAACCCTTTTATGTCGGACCACAACATATAATTTCACGAGGCTGAATGATTTGTGTTGATTTTTGGAAAACACCCTGTATGGTATTCCTATTCAATCACGAGGCATATTTTCTACGGAACACACGCGGAGACTTAAACATAACTACACAAAGTGGACCCGGGTCGTAAACCCTTCATTTGATTAAAGAATCTTTCTGTTAAATTGTAAGTACTTGTTAACACAATCAAAATTGATTTACCATTCATTTAATATTCATAGGTCCAAGCGACCCATCCCTTAAGAGGAAAATTGTTAAAGCGTTCGTAAGTCCGTCGCTGAGCTAATATACTTGAATAACCTTCAACACTGCAACTAAAAAAACATATCTAAATAACCGAAATGTGCTTTCTGGGTCATTATTGCTTTTTAATTACATTCCCTGAACATTTTCCCTTTAAACGTCAAAAGTTCAATCAGGATTTCTTGGATTTTATTTCATGTTTGATAATTATTAAGACAACCATCTCGTAAGGGATACGAAATAACAAAAGGACAGTTTAATGATTAGGTAACCAAATTCAGTAGTTGAATAAAATTCACGTATCATTTGGTGTACTTTATCTACATAAATGAATGAATGACTTGAAATTTATTTCAGCCTTTGGTGAAACGTTAGAGATTTCCTTTCATAAAGATTTTAATAGGAAAAAAAAGGAGATCCAGCAAACAATTTCGGGCCTGATGGAGGTGTTTCTGTGTAGTCAAAATGAAAATCATTCCATTAAGGCTGATGATCTCCATCAAAAGCACATTTCTTGTTTACAGGTCCACAACCATTCTATCGAGAAAATATTACCAAAGTTCTCAATTTTTTTATAGAACACCTTTGGAAGAAATGATTAGGCCTTTGACATCGCTTGGCAGGTTGTTTTAATTTGTCAAGGGTATGACCAGTCCTCATGAAATATCCGTGATATTATGCATTCGAAGTTCGCAAAGACAGATTACTGAAAATTAAAATAAATTCAATTTCGTTTTTATATGAAATTTAATTCTACTTAGTGGATATCTCAGAAACTGTCCAAAAATCGAATTACTCTGATATTTTTGTGTCACGGTTTTTTTCAACAGTTTTTCTCGGTAATGTGTGAGATGAAAGTGTTTATTTGAGATGCTAGTAAGGGTGCTCTGTACCCAAACAAAGCCGGCTTCTTTAGAAAATTGATAGAAAAACAATTCAAATTGGGACAAATTTGGTTTGTTTTTAAATCCATCATGTAAACTGATCTGTTCCCATGGTATTCTCATTTATTTTTGTTAGTGACCTGATATATCATCATTCCGCATTGAAAATACCACTATTTGATAACTTGAGATTGTCGCGCAAGAAAAATAGTCACTCAAAGTGAAAGTACTGTCGTATAAGTTTGTTTTGTAACTTAATGTTAGAACTTTCACCTTGCAGACGCTGTTGCCGGACGTGCGGAGGTAATTTTACTCTCTGTAAATTAATTCTGTAGAAACATTCCAGTATTGTGTTTTCCAAGGTCACTGCAGCAGGTGTTCGTATCTATAGCTATTTAGACTGTCTTCTTAAACTTTCGTAAACTGTTTTTCTCTGGCTATTGGATAATCGACCGGTAAAGATCGCTAAACTAATTACTATTTAGATACTGACTGACTTTTTAATCCCCCAGTAAGAAATGAATAATGCTGTCGTGCTGTTTATGGAAAATAAGAGTTTTCAGTTGAGCACTGAACTAAACCTCCCAAACACTATTGCCTCCCAAACACTATTGCCGAGCGTGCAAAGGCATTTTCCTTTCTGTGTTCTTTAATTCTAAAAACTGAAAAAAAAAATTTCGCGGCGTGATATGTTTATCCAGGTCATTAATATTTTGGCAGGCGTTCGTAACTATAGTTATTTAGACTTACTTCAGAAACCTTCGTAAACAGTTTTTCTCTCATTGGCTGGACATTGCATAATCAGTTGGTGAAAACGTTAAACCAATCAATGTGTCGGACATGATTAACTTTCGAAAACTCTCTCTAAAAAGTAAGAACTACTGTGGCCTATGTTATGGAGAATTTGGCTTTTAGGCTGAAGAGCGATCAAGGTCTTATTAACAATAATCTCTTCAACTTCCAAGTTATCTTTCTTCACTGCGAGTGTAACCCGATCAGTTTAGTTTGGAGAGTAAGGATCAGAAGTTGCAGACATGAAGGTTATTGCAATTATTTTCCTGGTGCATTATGTCATTTTCACAGATGCTGGAAAAGGAGCCAGCAAATACTGCAAGACAGCTGACGCAAAGTTGGATGAACTCAAGGAAATGATTGAGAATTTGAAATGTCCTTGCCCAGGTAGAATAAAAATGTAGTTTTCAAATTCATTCGTCGAATCTTTATTTGCTTTATATTTTCAACTTTTATATCTCTTTCTATAGAAATCTGTGAAACCAAGGTTTTAAAAATCCAAAAGAAGAGTTTAAAGTTTTGGGTATCCCTTTTTTTTTTTATCTAGAGCCGCCTCCAGAACCACCCATGTCTTGCAAATACGGCTTTGAAGACGGGGCAAAGTAAGTAGTCATAATATCTTAATGCTTAAGCTTATACAAAAAACACTGGAAATAAAAAATATTCACATTTATGCTAATAAAAAAGTTTTTTTTTATGGATTAAGAGCGAACAAGGATTACATGCTCCAGGTGGACGAATTCACGAAACTGCCCGTTTATTGTAACATGGATGGCGCTGGTCTCGGCGACTGTGGAGGTGGAGGATGGACGCTGGTCATGAAGATTGATGGCGCAAAGGTAGTTTAAGAGTTGCCATTTCATCCACTCACATTGTCCTTGAACTGTCCTTGAAATATTTCACGTGAACTTTTTCATTAGTATATGTTAGATGCAATGATTAAGTTTCATTCCATGTCCGTTCTTGATACGCAGTACAGTAATTTAGCACCATATCAAAGTGCCTCTCTAGTATGTAGCAAATATCAAACCCGAAGCATTGATTGATTTCCAAAAACTGGAGCAGCAACATGAATATCTGTTACCGGAATCATTAACAAAAATATTTATAGAAGCGTTCTCCCGCCAAAAAAAAGTCTTGTAAAAGTCACCGGAAGCTTTCAGTCTACCGTCTTCGACGGATAAGGAGATGTGATGACATGAACAATTAAAGAAAAGACTTGAATACAAAGAATGATACGTATAAATTAAAAATATCGTGATGAACATATGACAATAGTGACATAAAAAAAACACACTTAGAGTGTTGAAGTTAATGTTTGTTCAAAAGGATGATGTTTTGTCCTGGGTTTGAGCAATTATCAAGGTCCTCTTATATATGACAATAATAAATGTCTGCGTATTTCAAAGGATTGTTGGAAAATACTGGTCAGCCGTCTGCAACGAAGCAGATAGAACAAAATCATTGTTGCTTAATGTTGAAAGTAGGAAAGATAATATCCAGTCTTATAACATTCATCACTTGGGTTGGACCATGTGACAACTTTATCGACAAAATTCTAAAATTTTGAGTCGCGCATTTCATGAAGTGATAGGGGGAGACAAAATTACTTTTTGAAACACCATGAGGGCGACTTAAGAGTACAACAAGATGCAAAATTTAAGACCCTTTTATAGAATCGATCCTCGCAGCTATGAACACTACTGAACTAGTAGTTGAAAACATCAGGCCTGTACGGAATTCGAACCTATGACCAGTGCAGTGCTCTACTAACTGAGCTAGCAAGCTAACTGGGAGCTGGTCGATCCAAATTGTTGGATCCAAATAAACCTTCGAAGTGGTGAATAATGGCTGTAAACATATGCAAATCATATGAATAATGGCTGATGTTTTTCAGGCCTTTTTTAACTACTAGTTTAGTTATGTTCATAACTGCGAGGATCGATTCTATATTCCGGTTTCTTCAACCGCAGCGCGCACATATGAATTTAATATGTTTACAGCCATTATTTAAGACTCTTTTGTTTACTGTCATAGTCCACATTCAAATATGACTCACCTTTCTGGAGCGACAAGAAAGAATACGAACCCTCAAACGGGAGAAATTTGGACGACGGAGAGACCAAGTTGCCAACCTATTGGAGCACCTCCTTTACAAAGATCTGCCT